TGTTCCTAGTCCACACTGAGCGGCATTACGTAGGACGCACATCGTTTTAAACATTATTTTGCCTGCCAGCCGTGAGTAATTGAAAAGAAGTGATTGGAAAATTCTGCAGGAATGCTTGTGTCCCAGGGTTCAACATCAAATGTTGCAAATTCTGACATCAGAGCCAGGTCAAAGATCAACTCAGTTTAAAAAAACACCTCAGGTTTGGCATAACCAATGATGTCTGCAGGGCTCGAGTAGTTCCCATGGAATGTGAGCTTGTAGAATTACAAACAAATCATTCTGCAAGGCAACATCTGGCCATAGTTTCCCCATGTGTTTGTTTGCTAAAACTGAAGGACAAGAATCAAAAAGAGCATATACACGTCTAAAGCTCTTTTACCATTCTGTGGATTAGCACACAACTTGAGCCGAGCCTTTCTGGCTCTCTGAAACTCACGGGGCCCAGGCCTTGACAGCATGTGTGTCCAAAGGACCCCAGGCTGTTGTTCCTGGCAGGCCCCTGTCAAAACTCTCCACCTCCCGATACTCTCCCCTCTCCGCCTCCTGCCCGCCCCTGTTAGTATGAGCTAGGACAATGTGCATGTAATTAGCAGTTCTGTGTGGCAGCAGCAGCTGAGGTCTTGTTGCCTCATGGGCACACGCAGAGTTGGCTCTGGAGACTCGCACACAGGAAGCTTGGTCCTCTGGTTGAAGTGGCCACTGTGCAGACAGCAGGATGCTACAGAGGGAGGCTGTTTTTCCAATTATCACCCAGCAGCAGTTCACAGAGGTGCCAGACAACAATGCAAACTGATGCCTGAGAGAAATAAGCAGCTTCCCATTCGTGCTCCGTTTGCTTGTGGTAAAGAATTAAGATCCATAATGTGGGTTAACAGCCATTGGCTGGGATACAAACGGGACAAAAGTGGAAATCTATGAGCCATAAAGTAAATTTTGCTGTGGAATTAAATGTTTGACTGTTTTTCTCAGTTCTGTGTTAGATAAAGGGAGGAAATTTCCACCCAGGAAGATGAGAAATCCTTCCCTGCTCTTCTCGGTTACAAAGCTACAGAGCAGAACGACAATGTAAAATGCATACAAACTGACAAAAAAAGGGAATATATGGAGTGAGGGAAAATCTGTATGAGGCAAACCAACCCCCTTCCCCCTCACGGCAAACGGATAGGCTGAGAGATTTACGTAATTGCTGAAAAGTTTGGATTTCTTTTAATGTTCAAGTGTTCCATTTAAAAGCAGTCTCATGTCTCATGGTATGCTAATGGATTTTTTCCTCAGACAGGTCTTTGGCTAGCCCTTTCCCTTCCCTGCCAGAAGTGCTGGTCTACACCATCCATGCCAAGATTTTCCATAATCTGGCCACTCGCTTTCCATTGGGTGCAATACATAAAATGGAAAGGTCAGTTTAATGTCAACTGTCCGGCCTTAACTCACAAAACTTGTATCATTTTACAAATAAGATCCTTTGTTTTGACATTTATAGTGCATATGTCATTGCTATGTGTAGTTCAATGAAACCGTGGGTCAATTCAATTTGATGACTAACCTTTGAACTTATTTCAGCTTTTTTCAGAACAGCCAAGTTATGATTAAAAGATAAGTCACAATTTATTTTCTTGTTCAATTTGTCTTATTTGTAATGTCATGTGCTCGGTTTTTAAACACATTATGACTGTGTATGTTTTTCTGAAGGGCAGCTGTTATTTTTCTCAGCCTCTCAAAGCGCACAAGCATCCTGTCTGCAGTCCAGTTCCTTGAGAATTACAAAGAAAATGACACTCTTCCTTAATAAAGACATACATTTGAGTGCGTAAGACAGAAACACTTCTGCTGCCGTATAGCCTGATCGTGCTTAAGTGTGCAACATGGCTGTTTGAGGGTCACTCCGTGGGTAAGAGTTTTTCACATGAAAGTCTGACCTTTGAGAAGCTGATAGACAGCTCAGACACATGTAGAGTATTGCTCTCCCTATCACGCTCATTCTCCACAGCGTTCCACAGGTGGAAGCTCTCTGGACATTCCTCACTCCTGATGTGAACAAGTGAATAAAATAAAGCAGTCTGTAAATCTGGCACATCACCCTTATTGACACAAATCACAGATTTATGGACTCACGGCCATGTGTGTGTACATTAAAGGAAGTGTAAAGCACATGTTTTGCAGCTTAACTTCACGCACGTACCTGCAGCCTTCAGTAGACGCTTAATGCACCACACTTTGCTTTTGGAAGGAATAATGTAAGTAAATGAATCTGGCATATGGGCGTTGATTCAATTGATTCAGTGTGTTAAACAAGGATTCTATGCTACTCGTTAAGGGTCTGAACACAGCGTTTAAACATTTAAATTGAGTGAATCTTTAACCTATCTAGACATCTGTTGTCTTTTACTGACTGGAGTGAATACTTTCTGTGTAGCACTTACCTTTATTCTATTATTAAAAGTAACTTGCTCTGACAAACTATTTAATGTCTTTAACTTGACTTTTTTGCTTGCATGCATGTACAGGTGCATCTCAATAAATTAGAATGTCGTGGAAAAGTTCATTTATTTCAGTAATTCAACTCAAATTGTGAAACTCGTGTATTAAATAAATTCAATGCACACAGACTGAAGTAGTTTAAGTCTTTGGTTCTTTTAATTGTGATGATTTTGGCTCACATTTAACAAAAACCCACCAATTCACTATCGCAACAAATTAGAATATGGTGACATGCCAATCAGCTAATCAACTCAAAACACCTGCAAAGGTTTCCTGAGCCTTCAAAACGGTCTCTCAGTTTGGTTCACTAGGCTACACAATCATGGGGAAGACTGCTGATCTGACAGTTGTCCAGAAGACAATCATTGACACCCTTCACAAGGAGGGTAAGCCACAAACATTCATTGCCAAAGAAGCTGGCTGTTCACAGAGTGCTGTATCCAAGCATGTTAACAGAAAGTTGAGTGGAAGGAAAAAGTGTGGAAGAAAAAGATGCAAAACCAACTGAGAGAACCGCAGCCTTATGAGGATTAAGCAAAATCGATTCAAGAATTTGAGTGAACTTCACAAGGAATGGACTGAGGCTGGGGTCAAGGCATCAAGAGCCACCACACACAGACGTGTCAAGGAATTTGGCTACAGTTGTCGTATTCCTCTTGTTAAGCTACTCCTGATCCACAGACAACGTCAGAGGCATGGAGAAGCTCATAGCCCAAGTTGCTTGAAGTCTAGTGTTAAGTTTCCACAGTCTGGGATGATTTGGGGTGCAATGTCATCTGCTGGTGTTGGTCCATTGTGGTTTTTGAAAACCAAAGTCACTGCACCTGTTTATCAAGAAATTTTGGAGCACTTCATGCTTCCTTCTGCTGACCAGCTTTTTGAAGATGCTGATTTCATTTTCCAGCAGGATTTGGCACCTGCCCACACTGCCAAAAGCACCAAAAGATGGTTAAATGACCATGGTGTTGGTGTGCTTAACTGGCCAGCAAACTCACCAGACCTGAGCCCCATAGAGAATCTATGGGGTATTGTCAAGAGGAAAATGAGAAACAAGAGACCAAAAAAATGCAGATGAGCTGAAGGCCACTGTCAAAGAAACCTGGGCTTCCATACCACCTCAGCAGTGTCACAAACTGATCACCTCCATGCCACGCCGAATTGAGCCAGTAATTAAAGCAAAAGGAGCCCCTACCAAGTATTGAGTACATGTACAGTAAATTAACATACTTTCCAGAAGGCCAACAATTCACTAAAAATGGTTTTTTATTGGTCTTATGAAGTATTCTAATTTGTTGAGATAGTGAATTGGTGGGTTTTTGTTAAATGTGAGCCAAAATCATCACAATTAAAAGAACCAAAGACTTAAACTACTTCAGTCTGTGTGCACTGAATTTATTTAATACACGAGTTTCACAATTTGAGTTGAATTACTGAAATAAATGAACTTTTCCATGAAATTCTAATTTATTGAGATGCACCTGTATATAAGGCCTGCATCATGCATATTTCAGGTGAATATGCAAAGAAAGCATCAGGAATGAATGACAAACCATAGCTGAAAAAAAATAAAACTCCATAACCACTCTAAACTTCACAATATGGTGAAACCAGTGGTTTCTCATTGTGAGGAAGGAAACTGAGTTTAGATGTAGTTTATCACCAGACGGGGGCACTACGACAGCAACATGTGGACTAAAAATCATGAAAAAAAAAGAAACAAAATCGTGAAACTATTTAAAGAGTGACGTGACTCAAACTATCTACACAAAAATAGATAAATTGCTTAAGATATTTTTGCAGTATCTGAATCACTTCATGATACAGTTAAATATATTTGCCTGCATAAATCTCCATATAGCCTATAGTTCACACACACACACACACACACACACACACACACACACACACACACACATATATATATATATATATAATAACAACAACAAATGCAAATATAACAACTTTAGTAATAACCATACTTTCTCAGTTAAAACAGGTATTTTTTTGGTTGTGTTATTAATTAATTTAATTATATATTTATTTATATATGTGTTCTTAATCACTTCTGTAATCACCGTGAACAAACCCTTCTTCTTGCTGGTGAATATGGATAACCTTGTTGAAACATAAAATCATATCGGTCTTGTTTTATTGCGATTTTTATCTTTGTGATAAAAAAAAAATGTAGATGACACAAGTGTCTTTTCTTTTCGCATGGCGCTTTCTAATTCATAACTTCGTGTTCGTCCCTCAAAGTTACCGAGCGTTTAGAGCGGGTTGAGTTATTTGAAGCTGTCCCAACAACTTCTCGAGTCGAGACCCCAAATATCCCAGAGTGACATCACGCAGATTAGCCAGTAGGAGTGTGGAGCGCAGGGTTTGGGGGGCTGGAAATCCAATAGGTACGAGCTCCGCTGAAGTTTCTCAAACACTATCAATGAGGATTTGCATGCTGGACCCAAAAATCGCAATTGGTGAAGAATGAGCAGGAATGGTTTTGGACATTTTGAATGATTTTGCGGACTTTTTAAGGGCTTTTTTTCCTAGTTAGCGATGTGCATTTCTAACTTTTGACGCGCATCTGTACGTTTCAGTGGTGTGGAGAGACAGATGAAACCTCGCGTTTGAATGAGCAAAGCTTTTTCTGATGCATTTCGAGAAGTTTTCAAAGTTGGAACTATTTTATGCTGGTATTGTAGCTCATCTTTAAGTTTTTTTTTTCACCCCTTGTCCTACCTGTATTTTTTGCGCGCGGGATTTAATTGGCTGTGGACAAGACGCGGATACATATTTGTTTTTCAAATAGCTTACGCATTAGTTTATTTTGTTGTTTTTGCATATATATTTTTTTCTTTTGTTATTGGGCTGCTCTCAGCCTCAGAGGATTTATGATGCGGTGGGTGAAGTATTGGGGGACAGTGGCTGTGCTGTGCGGGCTGCTGTGCTGTGCTGTGAATGGATGCCCGCATAAGTGCAGTTGTTCGGGCTCTCATGTGGATTGTCAGGGTCAAGGCTTCAGGACGGTGCCCAGGGGAATCCCGAGGAATGCAGAGAGACTGTAAGTACGCCTATTATCGCGTTACTTGAATACCAATAATGCAATGACAGCGGCGCGTACCTCTGTTCACAGACAGTGGCACCGTCGCGATTTGATGTATTGTGAGCGGGAGATGCAATTCAAGTTTTTTCTTCATCTTCTTTTTACAGCTGTTGTTGGCTTGTAACATACAGTAGTGTCCATGCTACACGTATTGAATGGTATTAAACACTGAAGTAGGCTGGTAATTTAAATCAAAAGAAAAAAAATGTTTTGAAGCTTAATAAACCCATTTTGGATACCAGTGATGCTGCATGCCTTTTACTAAAAGGTATAAAAAATAAATAAAAAAATAAGTAAAAAAGCGCAGATGCAAGGATAAAGGTTAAAATATGTATTTATCTACCCAACGAACAAGCAACTGTGCTGAAAATAGAATGGTAATTCAAGAAGCAGTGCTTTTATTTGACTTGCAATTATGCTTTAAAATCTACAATTTTTTAATAGGAATTAATCCATCACAGTTGTGCTCTGGCTTTTCCCACTGGTCAATGATATGATTACATGTATTGTGGACATTTGAGAGAGAGCAGATTTAATAATGGATCAACAATAAGCTCTTTAAAAGACATCATCTTCTCAGATCTCTCTCAAACTGGAATAAATCAGCTGTGGTCTTGTAGCGTTTTACACTAGCTATGTAAAAAATGTTCACATGAAATCAAGACAGTCTGAACTCCATTTATAGTTGCACAACTCACTTCACATCAGTAACTCAACAGATCATTAAGTGAATGCAGGTCACTAATGTTACCACTGGGATTAAATGGGCTTTAATACAGTAATAGTATTTTGTGTAATATGGACACTATTGTAAAACATTACTATAGTTTTCTTAATAAGATGTGTAAAGTTGATTGAAGAAAATTGCATTATGTTACCTTTGCTCAGTCGGTCAGGTTTCCTCTTTAAACAGTGTTTTTGCAGTTGTTAAAGCAGGTCAGTTTTCTTCTTAAAGTGAAATATAGATTTAAAGCATAGGCTCAGTTTTTAACTAAATATTTATTTTAATATCAGTATGGGATATACTCAGTGTCATGTTTTTCTGTTGAGGATACAAATCAATTTTAAGTGCTGCAAGTTTTAAGTTTTTTGTTTAAACTTACATAAATTCTATGCAGCCTGTTATAAACTGTCTAATGCATGAGGAGTTTCAGTGCAGAGTTTTGTATTGAGAGTTTGAAAAGTTTGGACTTGAGTAAAATCACATTTCATTGATTCTATCCAGAATGTTCTAAATGAGGCTTGAGATATTGTGTCCACATCTGAATGCTGAACAGCGTTGCAGCGGATTCTTTCATCCAGTATAATGAGTTTACACAAACATTAACATGATTAATGGACATATGGTGTGAGTGTGTGTATGTACCTTGGCTGTATTCGTTGGGGAACCACAAGCCCGTTGAGGGGCGCACTGCAGCTGAAGACTGACTCTCTTATGTGTTTAGATTACTTCTAACCACTGGTGAATTTCACTGTGAAAATATCCTTAATTTCCTTGTGTCCACCTGCGGCACTTCTGTCGTGATAAGCCATGACAGTTCATTAAGTATCACAACCATCTGGTATAATATCATATTTTTGGGGGGATCTGATAGGAAGAACGTCCAGTCTGTTCAGTTGCCAGAGGTCTGGTTGAACCTTCCGACCTTTAACCCCTAAAGGGCTTTTCAGTGGAATTTTTCATGTGGAGAGAAAAATAAATAAGGGTCATGACCCTCGGTATATTGGATTTGTTTTCAAATATACCATGTTAGGTTTAGTCTTGCTTAAACTAGAGACAGATGCAAGTCTTTGTTTTTGTTAATGCCTTTGCATATTCTCATAACCAGTTTATTCATTGAAAACCAAGCAATTCATCCAATGTTTTGCACCAAGCTTCGGCATCTGCAAAGTAGCAGTTTTCAAGACCCCTCAAAGTCCAGAAGCACCCGTCTCCACGTCTCCTGGGTACGATTAACACGCCACCAGGTTTCCCAGAGCACCCTGGAGTGTTGATTTAACTGTTAATGACTGCACCTCTGCCCTAAGCAAGGCCTAGTTACCCACAATTCCAGAGTTCAGGCACATTTCCCTCTAATAAATGTGCATTTATTCGAAAGGCTTTTCTTTCTTTGACAGCTCATATGATTTTGAGCTCATTAGTAGCTCCTGTCGCAACTGTAATATCCCCTTTCAGTCACTCACACATGCTCTTTCATCTCCCTCGCTCTAATTTGCACCAGTTACGCACACACTTTGTGGCATTTAATAGCAAATTCTCTCCGTCGGAGTCTTAGGCCCTCTCGCAGTTAACACTTTAGGAACAATGTGGCACTTTGTGGCTGGTGTAGCGTGTTTGGTCTGCCGGATCAGGAGAGAGAATGGCAGCATTCCCTTCCTCTCATCACACTCTGGGTGTCTGAATGAAGTTTCTGTGTGAAACCGCCAACTCCTGCTTTCCCAACTGGAAGCTCCGCCCTCGATTGCATATCCGTTTGTCAGCGTTTGCTTATGCCTCTCGTGTCAGTTTTTTATTATCGCAAAGAGTCAGTCAGCGGGATAGTGTGTGTGTTTGTTGTGTTGGTATTGGAGCGAATCAGGAGGTGGGTTTGTGGTCTCCGGTGCCCTGCTGACCTCAGTGGGCATATGAGGAGCATATGTGAAGTCTCTCGCTCGGTGCGCGTTAACACACTGCAGTCTGCCAGACAGCTGCTGGCACTGCTTGTGGGCAAAGATTTCGGGGAAAGATTCGCCACCCAACTTTAGTAAAAAAAAAAAAAAAAAAAAAAAGTTTTCGTGCACGGAAAATATTTAATGTGTCTCATTTCAGGCAGTGCATCAAAGCTTAGCGCTCTCTTTGGTGAGTCTGGGAGCCAGCAGACCTCTCGTCACAAAAGTCTCAAAGAGGTCACTCTGAATGTCAGGGACCCAGAAGTCTGTGAATCTTCCAAGCTTGTGTCATACTTTAATAGAAGGCTGGATTCGATAATGCGCATGCCTCCGGGCCGTTTCAGGTTTACGAGGGCTCTTGTTTTGCACGCTTTGTCACCAGAGCAACACATCAAGGGCTTCGTTATTCTCATCAGTACATCTTGTTAGTTGTGGCTGAGTGTAGCTAGAAGTGACAGTGTTTATGCTAAGTTAACAAATATGAATAGAACCGTGTGTGGTTTTATGATTTCGTTACTGTGATGTAAGGATCCTGGACTCAAACACTCGGTTGCAGCTAGCAACCAGTAAACAAAAGAATCAAACCAGAGTTTCTGAATGATTTGATGAGGGTTTTGCTAGGCTTTCGGTAGGCAGAAAGAAAGAGGACTCTAATGAAGTGTTGGGGATTAGAAGTAGTACATTTTTTCAGACGTCACATAGTGATGTAGTGTGTCAAAACAATACAGTACATCTGTGTATTTGTCACGTTGTATTTTGCAGCCATGAGAAAATGTGCTCTCTTCTAACTGTTAGTGAATCATTTTGTTTAGATGGTTCATGTAAGTGTTTAAAAATGATTCACTGATTCATTTGAGTCCCTACACAAGATTTTGTTAAATGCTGACGTCTATTGTATACCCATATATAATTTATGATTTTTCTAGTTCACTGCTTGTATTTAGGTTAAATGTACGTTTAACTGCGATTTAATGTCACATTATCTGAAATATTTAAAAAAGATAGTGTCTTCTTACATATTCAGAGTTGTTTGGTACATAGTGTAGCTAACTAACTTTTCAAATAGTAGCTTCACTAAAAGTTTAGCCTAGAAAGTAATGACTTCAAAGTAAACGCTCCCCTGCCTAACATCAGTTACGTTACAAGAAAAAACAATCTTTTTTGGAGAAATTTATACAGGAAACTTAGTGGAAACAGAGCGCCACAAAGCCAAATAAATAAACCCATGGTGGCCTGGTACAGAGGCTGTTGTTCAATATGGTCAGCCGGGACACTCATTTTTTGACCGTTCTTCCCGGTAATGATGTCTGCAGAAAGTTGGTGGGAGGGTATCTTTAGTTATCCCCGGAGTCCAAGATGAGACTTGTGTTATTGATGAGCCTTTTGTAGCCTGGCTGTCATATTGACTTTCACACAGACGTGTTGAAGATGCCCTTGTCACCTCTCAGCCAAGCGTTACTTTAGTAATTTAAGAAGTCATATACTGTGCAAGAACACCAGGCCGTCTGCTCTATTAGCTGTAAGGGTTTGAAAATAAACCATCCAGGGGGTAAATTCTAAAAAAAAAAAGAAATTTGAAATAATTAATATTTGTCTGCTCTGCTTAGTGTGAAGTGAACGTCCTTCGCATTCAAGCATGGCCGTAATGAAAATATTTACTAAATGAAACTCTCCCTGAGATGGAAACTGCCAACATTGCTCATAAACAATGAAGAGGAACTTAAAGACGAACTGGCTGCTTCATTTTCACTGCCTTAATCGTGAAACTCCAGTGATGAGTTGGCCTTTATCCCTATGCAAACTCCAATCCAATCTTTTCTAACAGTAAAACCAGATGATTTTATGTTTTTATCACAAATGGCTTTTACTAAAGACAATAAACAATCATCACCAGCCATGCCAGGTAATCAAAAATAGAAGATTGCATTTTTGTGGTTTTGGCTAATAACTGCATTAAAACAAAATTGTGTATGGAACCCTGTGACGATTTCAAGGAATATGGGATTGTTAAGAGCTTTTGAGGTGGTGGTAATATGTTGGGAGGTACACCTCAGGAATTCTGGGACAGGACTGCTTGTGTCCAGAGATGTATGGTAGCCACATGGCTGCTGGCTGCATGGCTCATGGGAGATGAAAGAGCGGTAATAAACCCCCCCTATTTGATCTCGCACAAGTGCAAATGAACAAGCGTTCCGGCGGCGAACTTTCAGAAAACTGGAAAAAGGAAAGAGCTCTGTTATGGGAGAGTGAGGAGAACGCAATGAGGCATCTATCCATTTGTAATGCACAAAATAATTGCACCCTGTTCG